TTCCTACTGCTGAGTATTACAAAAAAAAAAATTGGTTTTGCGTAATTTTTTTCCCAGTCTATTCAAGATGACCCGCATCAAGGCATTCAAATACCATCATTAGAAAATAAAGTACCAGCCACAATAATCTGTCCTAAATCAAGGTCAAGATCTCATCTAGCTTTTGTAACATGAACCTGACACAGGACAAAACTTAATGTTTTGTAAAACAAATAAATCATCAACAGAAGGAGCTTTACTTCAAAAATATCTGCAATTTACTGAAGGGACACAACAGGAATAAAGTAATGGGGTGTTTCTGTGCTGCCCTAAGGGCTATTCCCAGGCACTGTGAGGCAAAAGCAGCTGGCTAGAGCGAACCCCTGCATGGGCTATGTCTTGGTCATGCTGGTCCGACAGGCATCGAGTATGGAGACCCTCTTTTGTGAATGGAAAATTTCACTGCCAAGTGAAGCTGATTAAGGATGCTTTACTGCAAAATAGTTCAGGCTGAGCTTAGAAACTTAGCAATCAATTCTACCCTCTGCTGATAGTAAACCCTAGCCTGGTACCTGCAGAAGATAAGTAGGATCTTATCCTGTCATGGCATTAACACAGACGCAGGCAAACTGATATGAGAGCCAGGGTAGGCACAGATTTATTTAACATGTGTGGCAGAACGTGGTGCTACGCCTCTAAATTCCAGTTTAGGTACTTAAATAAAATAACACATTTCTTTGTTTTGCAACTGTATAATTCGTACAGTAGAAAAAGGCATATACATAAAAATAGGAATAAAAAACCAATTTGTAGCCCTCAGTCTTCTGTCCCTCTCCTTTTCCTGTGTGCAAGATGCTACACATTGTGTCATAAATAGACCTGACAGCGATATAAATGTGATTATCCATTTTAATCCTGTTATTTAAAATGGAAATAACAGAGTTAGCATGTCACATTAAGTCTGAATCTAGATGTTACTCAGACCCATATCCAAAATACATGAGAAAAAAAGTGTGGCTACTCCTGATGTTAGCATATAGATCAAACTTCTTTACAGAGCTGAGACATCGAGTAGATCTAATAGGGTTTTCTTAGTTTAATTTTGGGCCAGAAAATAAGTAGGGAATAGTATTCAGTGACCTCCAATTTGGGCTGTAGAACTCGCTTTCATATTCATTTTATCCAGCGAAGCTTGTCTGATCTTTTTTAATGCTCTCTGCTTTCATTATGTCAGCCCCGCGATCTGCAGCTGACTCAAGTAAAAAGATTGACATTTGCTTTTCTAACTTTATTCACAAGTGTTTCCTGACAGACAAAAGTAAGTTGTGTTAACTTAGTTTGCATATCAGCTGCCTTATTATCACCAAACTTGTGTTGAGAGAATTTTGGTTGCAATATTTTTTTACACATTTTCAGTAATTTCAGTTGTGTTAATTACCATGGCTGGCTATAGGCTTCTACAAATGCATGTTTACGATCACACATAAACAAGTATCAGCCTACACAATTTGACAGATAACTCAGTGTGCTATCACAGAAAACAGTTGCAAGATTATTTTTTTTTACTGTACTTAAGCATATACTGAATTTCTTGTTATTTCATTTACTCTACCATATAGTATATTTTGACTTGTTATAGGTCTTCAGTAGGTAACAGTTACCAGCACATAGCAGTGGAGCAATCAGAACTATAAATACTTGAAAACTGGTGAATCATCTTCCACTTCTTGTGAGTCATAAGTATTGTAGTGGGTTTTGCCAGTTAACAAGTTTTGGATTTGTATAATCATAACTAAAAATGAAGTTGTTGTCTGTTTATAACCTCAAAACCAGCATTTTTTTCATCAGGGGAACTTGCTTTTATAGACGGCATATTAGACCCTCTTTTAAAGTATTTGCTGAAACTTCAGCATTTATTTGAGCTTTTTTTTTTTCCCAATGAAGAAAAGGGGAACAAACAGTTCAGCAGAGAAATTTGAGGTACTGATGTATTGTCATATGTTTTCTTAAGAAATTCTCAAAAATAAATCTAATTTTCGTTAGAAATACTGTAGACCTGAACAGCTTGACAGACTGGCTGGTGAAGCGTCTGCTCAAATGATTCAAAAAAATATTTTTGGCCTACTGAGAGGCTTTTCTGGTGTGAATTGGCTCCCAGTTGAAAAACTTTGAATTGCCAATGGGCCCTGGGGTGCTTTTGCATTGCCTCCTGACCAGCAAAACTGCAGACCGCTGTCTTTCCAAGCGCACGTGCTGCTTTTCATGAGACCACAGCTTTATAATTTATAACCAGATAGGGAGCATGGTTTTGATCGTTGCACTTGGCTTTTCTTGAGCTTGGCTCAGTGTAGTATCCCATTTCAGCAGAGACTGCTGTCCTTGTCTGAATCTATACCATAAGCAGATGTGTTTTTTTGCATTGGAACTGGTGATACAAGAGGTAGGTCATGCATTTGAATGAATTAGAGGGGTCCATAGCTTTAAAGTAGGCATTTCTCTCCCTGTAACTGTGCAAGTTAATCATGTCTGATTGAGAAGTCTTCCAAGTTTTTATTTCCTAGATTTATTAGGGTACTTAACTTCATATCAACTTTGGAAATGTTTATAGGATTCCCAGCAGTTCCCATAGATCGTAGTGTCCCTGAGAATACGGACAAAATTGCTGCTTATTTTTTCCAGTGAACAAAGTTGATCCATTCCATAAATCACAAGAAATGTCACCAAGAACTGTAATTGTAAATTATTTGGAGAAGAAACTGTAGGGAGCGCCCAGAAGCTGAAGCATTCAAGTTTCACTTTGCTACTGTCTTAAATAAATAGCAATGATGAATGCTTGAGAAACCTGGCATCAGGTCAGGGAAGAGAATAACTGCACATGGGTTTGCTTTATTTTTTTCCCAAATTGTCTCTGAATAAAAAAGGATTTAAATATATTAGAAACTCTTATTCTCTTCTGTGAAAAGGATATGGAGCCTGCAGATCTGCTGTAACTGTATCTGTGCTTGGCTGCTCTCAGTTGAAACTTGGGAGTTCCTCACCAGCTCACCTAGATTTGCCCAAATACGTCCACAGTCCTTATTCTTGGTGTATGTAGGCACAAGTAATAACGGAAATTCCCTGGTCTGTCAAATTACATGTGAAGCATCTATTGCAGAAGTCTGTCTTCTTAGAGACCCTTCAGATAACTTTTCATCCCCCACAGCCATAAAAAAAATGTCTCTTGGTTAAGTGTGTGTGTGGCCACATGTGTTTGCAAGATGGATTCATTAATCATAGTGGAAAGTACTTGGCGTCTTGTAGGAGTTTTGACGGTACAGCAGTTGCAGTTTTGGAACATTTGGACCCCCTGAGTGCAATGTGAAATGTTAACAACATCAGTGCGGGTCTATTTTAAAAATGGCTTTGAAATAAATTCTATTATGGAAGCTGTGGAAACTGTCAAAATGTATGTATTTCCTCATTTAAAGGAATAAAGAAGGCTAAATCTCGCCCCAGAGCTGTTTGCTGTGTTCTGCAGCGTCATGGTGTACGTCTCTGGTGTGGAAGTCCAGCTCTGCAGGGTGCAGGGTTGAAGTGTTTTGAAGCCTGTCCTAAAATCTGCTGGGGAACCTAATGCTGTGTGAGAAGTGCTTGCCATACAAGGCATTTATTCCCTGGGTGACTTTGTACTGTCCTTTGAGGGATTTCTTGTAGATGCTTACAGTGGAACAGTGTGCATCATCTCCCAGAATTAAGGATTTTGCTCCAGATTTTATTTTAGTTGCTCATTTTATCTTTTGCTCAAGGGAGGTGTGAAGGAAGGAAGGACTTCAGTCTCCACTAAATAACGATGTGGCAAACAGTTTTGTGATTCTGACTCCAGGTTATTTGAAGTGGTATATTTTTAGGCTTCATAAAATTGTTTTATCTTTCTGAGAAGAAAGCTAATTGTCGTTGGTAATTATAGTAGCTATCAACAAGAATAGTACATTAGCTGTTTTGAGCTAAAATATGTATTAGTTTATTTTAATGAGTCAGACTAGCAACAAAAAGACATTTTCATGTTACAAGTTCTCAAGAAATTCTTCATTATGGTTTTCTCTAGCAGAAAAGTAGTCAGACTTTGTGATGGCTTTTAGCAAAGTTAATTTCTGTTCAGGTGTTAAATACAAATTCAAAATGTGCATATCAGGGTTACAGTCTCCTACCTGAGCCAAGTTTTCTGATGGGTGGATTTTTTTTATCTGGCTATTCCAATTACATGAACTATTCTAGTTCATGACTAAATTTTTTTTTCTGTGTTTGGACAAAAAAGAAATTAAGAATAAATTTTAGATTCATAAAAATTTATTTAGTCTGTGATATTTTTTAGCTTAAATTTTAAGCTTTTCAGTTTAAATTCAGAGAGATGTTGAAATTAAGAAGCAGTCAAACATTTAAACTTTTTGACATTTAAAAATTACATAGTTTGAGAACGTTGTTATAGAAATTTGGTGCAAATTTGTAAGCAGTTCAACAACTGTAGTTATTTCTTCCCCCCAAAATAAAAAATAAGAAAAAAAATCAACTTTGTGTAGTTATCATTATATTAATTATTTTAATATAGCTAATCTACAGTCCTTGGTTTACTATTAAATTGTTGTGGAAGAAGTTTAATGTTGTAGTAACTGTGAAATCTACCACACTGACAGTATTAAAGTTGAATTTACCAGTTGCACATTTTTCTTATGATTGTGTTTGTTCTGTAGGAGGAAATCCAGGCATACAACTATTAACAAGTACTAGTTTTGATGGTTTCCCTTTTTTTTTTTTTTTCAGTGGTTTTAAATAATGATCCTGTGCTGACTTGTTTTTTCAGAGAGGTTCAATTATGTAAACGTAGTTGTGGACACAATTACAGACACACCATAGCTGATAAATAGTACAAAATCAACTCTCATGGTTTTATTTTTGGTGTTCATATTTACTAGGAGAACATATTATGTGTTCTGAGTTCTTCAGTACTTTATCAAGAAAATCAAATGCCTCTTTTTGTTTTCCAGGGCTTAGTTATTGAACGTCTCGGACGCAGACCTCTTCTCATCGGAGGTTTTGGGTTGATGGTTGTCTTCTTCGCAGTACTTACTGTCTGTCTGACTTTACAGGTAACACTACAATCACTACATATTTTTACTCTCTCTTTTGCCTATTTTAAACACGAAGTACTTGATAATACCTGTTTGCCTCAGCATTCCTACATAACCCCGTTCTTTTAATCAGTTTGACATAAGGATTTGAAGGTCTCTTTTGTTTCTTAGTGAATCTGTTGGTTTCAATATAGTACGTGGTTAGACATAGCAGCTTTTGTATTAAAAAGAGGCTTTGCCACATTCAGTCTCTTTAACTCGAAGATTCATGCATATCGTGAACTATTATGAAGACAATTTTATTCATAGTTGGGCAAATAGTTCACCCATATTCTGTGGTTTTTTTTCCAGTCTGGCTTGAACTTTAGCACAAGAAGTTGTAAACTTTCAGAGTTGTGACTTCTGTGGTGCAAGAGCTTGTCTTGTGTTTGTCTACAGGGATTGCAGAGACCAAGATCTTTAATACAAACCATCTAAGAAAGTTCCACAGAAGTACTGTGATTTTCTAAAGCAATTCTAGACTAAAATCTGAAATAGAGATAGAATTGTGGAAAACACTATCTATTGTCTGTGATTTTTTTAATATTGGTGATATGTACAACATAATTAACATGAATGTCTTTTATCTACACAGAAAACTGTGCATTGGCTTCCTTACCTCAGTATATTTTGCATCCTTGCAATCATTGCATCATTCTGCATTGGACCAGGTATGTCTGTATTTTTTCATGTTTCTTTGTATATCAAAGCAGAGGTATTTTTGCACTGGTGCTGTTAATAAATTGCTTATAGGAAACTGCTCTACACTTATCTGAAGACCACAAGGGGTCTAAGACAATAAGAGTGATAGCAACACAAAGTGACAGCAATGTTCTTGGTAAAAACCCATGTACACATACATTCCCACTTAGCTATCAGCATAGTTGAGAACTAGTGCCTAAATTGCAATCACTACCAAAATAAAATGTTGGGTATTGTTGTAGGATCACTATCATTTTGTAAATCTATAAAAAACTCTCAGACTGGAAGCTGTTTTATTTATCAATACTGTATCTGTTAGCAGTTCAACGCTGGGCAAATGGGACACTGGTAGAGGGGGAGGAAGGGGACAGTTGTGTGTGGTTCCTTTCTTCTCCTCCTTTCCAAAGATAGAGAAATGTTATGCAAGAGGGTTTTACACATACTCTCTTTAGCAGGTTGAATGGAAAAGGGAGATGTCCTGATGGCAGAGATGCTTCTTGTCTGGTCCTTCTCTATTGATTGCATGCCAAATCCAATGCACTCAGTTTTTGCAGGTTGTGATGAGTTTGTCAGAGCTATTTCCCCAGCCCAGTGTTAATTACTTAGAGATGGATACAACTTCATACAATCCAGTATTCACAGGTTGTATTGTTTGTATTTTATTTTCTTTAACAAAGAACATGTTTAAGGTATAAAACAGTAATAAAGCCCAGGCCTTTCTCAGAAGTGTAGAATGAAAGGACAAGAGCAAAATCAAGTCTCAGAAAAGGCAATTCTGACTGGATAGAAGAGAAAAAATTTGATGCTGAAAGTGGTTAAGCACTGGAAGATGTTGCTCAAAGAGGCCACAGAATGTCCATTCTTGGAGCCATTCAAAACTCAGCTGGACAAGTTCATGAGCAACTGGCCCTGCTTCGTCCAAATGCTGAAATCCAGAAGTCCTTCCAACTTAGTTTATCCTGTGATTCTAGTTGCATCATATCTTTAGAAAACACATTTTAATAGATATGCATAATATGCAAATACTTGCCTGAGTGTAGTATTTCTCTAAACAGTGTTGCTCTAGCCTTCAGATACTTGATCAGAATCAGATCCTGCAGTTATCAAACAATGAAATGTTAAGAAAAATCATTTGCAGATAGATAGAGGAATTTAATCCAAATTCAATTCATGTACAGAATAAGATGTCAAAACAGTGCTTAAATTTTCAAAGATTCTCTCACAAGCTGCTCTTCACAAAGAGGCAAAAAATAGCTGCTTTTTAGGAGTTTTTTCAGAGGTGTTCTGCTGTAAGTCTGAAAGTAAGATTTCTGTTCCCCCGAGTTTTCAGGTTTTTTCATGCACCATTTATTACTACTTTATCTTTATAAAGAGTTTGACATTAAACATTAATCAACTGTTTGTACATCTTCGCTGCTGAAGTGATCTAATTAATTGATTGTGGTTTATTTGGGGAAAGAAGGAGTTGCTGGTGTCTCGTGTGACTCTAATGAAACATAGCTGTAATTCAATGCTGCAGTTTAAGTACAGCTGCCTGCAACATCTACCCTTGTTTTCCTAAAAAAAATCTGTTGAAACAAATTGTAATTTTTTTTCTGTATTACAGACATGTTCATCAGTTTTTAGAACTTGCAGATCAATATGTTCTTACATGTTATATTTTCAGCATATTAAGATTAACCCTTTACATTTATCTTTCACTTCACCATTCTTCAGAATGGATTCTGGTTTTCTTCACTTAGCTTCTTTCCCTCTACTTTCAGGATTTTCTGTTGTACTTTGCACTCTTTTTGGAGCAAAGCATCTGCAGATAAACAAGACAAACAGCTTTTGTTTGGTATTACTTGCTTGCTTTCTACAGAAATTCTTTAAAATTAAATCTTTTGTCTTTTCCACGGTGCTCCTTCCTTTTAAAGCCAAAGAACATCAATACTGTAGCTACCCAGTTGGTCTCTCCACCTTTCCTGTGTATGTTCAAACATTTGTAATACCTGACAAGAGGGGTAATAACTCAGTAGCATTGAACGTTCCTTTGCTTTTTAATGAAAATTTTGTTAATTGATGCTTCAGCTGTTGAGAAGAAGTTGCAAAGAATCATATTCTGGTTCCTCTGTAAATCAATAGCAATATTTTAGCTGACTTCAGTGGGGCCAGATTTACCTTCAGTGAAACTTTTCTGTTCTGTTTAGTGGGGCTTAGGAGATATAAACTATTTGGCTACCTCTTAGCTCGGAGCAGTTGCCTTTCAGAGTACAAAAGCAACTTCCATTATTAGCCATGTTTTAAGGTGGATGAATGAGAAGAGAGCATATATGGTTTTTTTCTGAACACACAACTTCAGTATTTGAGTGCAATTACTGTGTCAAGTTTTACCCCCAACCCCAGTACAGGAAAGACATCAGTAAGCTGGGGCAAGTCTGCTGGAGAGTCACCAAGTCACCAAGGATGGGAGCCCTGTCAGAAGGGGCTGGGTCAGCCTGGAGAAGAGAGAGTTTTGGGGGCACCTAAGAGCAGCCCCAGTACCTATGAGGAGGGTGTTGCAATGACAGAGCCAGGCTCCTGTGGGTGTTGTGTTGTGGGAATGCTTCAGAGACAAAAGGAATATGTTGAAGATGCAGAGGGACAATAAGGAAAAGCTTTTTGCTTATAGACAGTCAAGCAGGCTACCAAGGATTTTGAGTCCTTAATTACTACACAAAGGTAAAAACTGAGTAGTTTGTACTTCTGCTCTTTTATTTCAGAGCTCTGTAGTCCAATGAGAAATTTGTGTTTCTGGGTCTTCTAGATATGGCGAGTACTACTCAAGAGCAATTTTCGATTGATTTAAAATCATCTTTGTTTTGCTCAGAAATATACTGTGGCAGTTATACGAAGATACCCTATATGTGGCAGATATGACATATATATGTATCATACATATATGAAGGAACTAAGCCTTGGGGAAGTACACAATGCCAGTGGAGTATCATGGTACACAAAATCATAATTTCTTTTAATGGGAAAGTCACTGATGAAAATTAACCTTTTCTTTCATTTCCTACTAGTGTTAGAGTTTTAGCAAGAGGAAGTAAGTAGGAAAGAACACATTTTTTAACACATCTGCAGTGCAGTGGCTGTTAAAGAGTGTCTAGAGAAAATTACGAACAGGGCAAGCAGGTGAGACACTTTTCCAGAATCAGTATTTGTTTGTATTGGTTAAAAAGGTGCTATTGTCATGGTATTACTGACACTTAGTATCTTATTTAATTCCTTCTGTAGTTACTTAGAGCATTTCAGCATTCTTTAGAGTAAAACCCACATGGTTTGTAATGATTCTGCAGATGCAGATCTTCATGTAGGATAAGTTCAGTTTATGTTCATTGAGTTATTGATACTTGAAAGAATTATCCCATCTGAAAATAGTAAATAATGTGAGGAACTGAGCTTATAAAAATACTGCTATAAATTTCTAGAGCATAAAATTAAAATTGCCTTTAAAATACAGTATTTTCTCTCTTGTTAGAACATCTGATAGTTTCTTGATGGCTTAGATGTTGTGTGGTCTCCCACTTTTTGATAGCATATGGATGAGTCCCATCTGCTACTTTACAGCTAGGATCAGCTGTTTCTCTAAACTGGGGGTTTTTTTGTTTTTTTTTTCATTTTTCCGAACTCGGCTTTTCAGCTTTGCAGATGTTTTTCAGGCATATTGCTAAGGATTGTAACAGTAATGGTAGCAAAAGGTACATTCAGGCATGCCTGTGATTTCGTATTTCATAATTTTTATCAAAAAACAAGCAGCAGAAAGGTTTCCTGCATTTACTAAAAATTAAAGGGACCCTTATGTTCAAGGTGGTCAATCTATGATCTGAGAGAAAAATACCCTTCAAAAATTGTTTATTTTTTATAGATTAGGGAGCCACGCTGTTCTAGACAGTTGCTTCATTGTGCCTATTTTGTTAATTATACACAAGTGAAGGTATATGGTTGCAGAGAAATACACTGCTTTCCAAAATTGCTTTTGATTATGGGAACATGTTAGTAAATAATTTTACCGTTTTCACCTCAAGAAAAAGGCAGAAGCTTAATGGAAATGTTTTTCTTCATCACACATTTGACCTGAAATAAATATGACACAGTTCAATGGAAGTGCCATCCAGCAAAGAGTAAACAGAAGGGATAGATAGAATTTGTTCTGGTTCCTAAGGAGACAACAAGCAAAAAAGTAATGAATAGAGAAAACTAATCAAAGAAAAATAGTAAGATAATATTTTTAGTATCTCCACAAAGCATCAGTGCTGTTTGGAGTGTCATGAGCAAATGCATGGATTTGGAATGCCTTTACCGAGGGGGTAAATAATGTGCAGCTCTCTGGAAAAGCGAGTAGTGATAAATGGGCTTAGGCACATGTGAAATATCTTCCTTCTCTAGCCTTGTCTTAGATAGTATTTAAGGAAAAGGGAAAAGCTAGAAGCAGTTATCCCGGCTTTCTCAAAATTTCTGGCTGCCTCTTCATGGACACTGAAGCATGTTCAACTGTGCATGGAGAATCTATGTCTCAGGAAAACCACACTAGAATCTGACTTAAACAGAAAAAGTGTAGGTTCTGCTTATTTTTATCTGTATACTTGAATTCCCAGTTCACCCAGTGTGCCTTTGCAACAGTTGCTGTGCAAGCAAGTGATTTTTGATTTTCCTGGGTGAATTGAAAAATATTTGTATGCATTAGGTGACTAGAGATAGTTTTATAAGGTTGCTGGAGAGTGTCCTCTTTAATCTACCAGCCAAATAAATAGTTTAAAAAAAAACCAAAAAAACCCACAAACACCAAACTAAAAAAAAAACACCCCCCCCCCCCCAAAAAAAAAAAAAAAAAAAAAAAAAAAACCCACGAAAGGAAAGCCCCAGCTCACCCGAAATGTGTCCAGTCCAGTGACAGTTTCCTTATTTGCCTGCAGGGATGTGACTCCACCTGCCAGGGAGCCTGTCA